TTCACCTAGAGCAAATAATGCAAAATGAAGATGGCTATATCTTGTCCTGGTGTCACTTTAAATGGATTGGGAAAGCTAAACATGAAGCCTTTGATGAAACTTCTGGATTAACTGAGTTTAACCAGGGCTCCATCTTCTAGTCCTCTTGGTTCTTTTTTACAGTACCATCTGCCAGCATGACCCGGCTCGCCCGATCACGAACCCACTCAACCTCAAGTAGTATCGGCTCTGGAGAAAGTGCCTTCAGCCGATCTGTCACCAGCAATCAGTCAGACGGAACTCAAGAATCCTCTGAGTCCCCTGATGTTCTGGACAGACACCAGACCATGGAGGTGTCCTGCTAAGCAGATGCTCCTCCCCTGGACCATGCAAGTCCATCCTCCTCCAAACGACCACTCCATAATATAACATTTCATCCAGCAAACTGGCATCTGTCTTTAACTCCTGCATGACCACTGACTCTCTCTCTCTGGTATCCTGGATTTATCATTCTCTGCCTGCCCGCCCCTCTTTTTGTATGTACCAGGAACCACTTCCATGCCATTACTGTAACATTCCAACATCTTGAGCTGATCATATTTCCATATCTCCTCTTGCCAGCTTTTCCCCATGCCTTCCCAACTACGTATCTGATAAGATTCTTTGATCCTGATGTGTGTGAGCACGCGTGTCTGTGTTTGTGTGTGCATAGATCTGTGGTTTTAGACATGCTTTCTTGTAGAGCTTCTGCAAAAAAAAAAAGGGACTTTTTTCCCTTCCCATTTTCAGTGGTGATTTGGGGGAAATAATGCAGAACAGATTACTAGATTGGGTAGGTCACTACATTCTTTTTTGGTTCCAAATTGGTCAAAAAGATTTGCATAGTGACTTCTGGAGAGATCAGCTCTGAGGAATGTGGAAGATCATAATTACTGTTTGGACTGTCAATTGACTGTGACCAATAGAAGGGAGCCTGTTACATAGAGAAGCAGGCAGGGTGGCCAGCCACCTCCTCCAAATGAATTTACACTATAAATAAAAGGGAGGGGAATATGTATTGTTAGGAGCCCGTGAATGATGAGGTTCCAATGAAACTTGGAGTTGTTCCTAAGGAGTGGGCATGGCTTAATTATTGGACTCTCCCAGCACAGGAAGGTGGAAAACAAAATGCCTGCTATTCACTCTGCTGGAGCAAAATTATCTGATATCACTACCAGACATACACAAAACATGCCTCCAGGTCTGTGATGGAGAGTGTTTCACCATCCCGCCATCCTTAAAAAAGGGAGAGGTATGACCTGAAAATTATGTAGGTAGTGAGGAAACTGCAATGAGGAGAGGAATAGACATTAATAGAATATCATATTTAATCAGTATAGCCTTGATTTCAGCAGACTTAATAGAAGCTAAGTGAAATTGAGATAGAACTCATTTCTCAGAAAGATTCTTAATCCTGTGAACTCTCTTGCAGGAGGGAAGGGGTCAGTCTGTAAGGGCAGCCTGTCCAGGTAAAACTGTGTTCAGTCCACTGCTCTGTGAGTATTGCTAGGTGGAGGGTGAAACCCATGACCACATAGCCAGGGCCCAGCTCTTGCGAGCTTCGAGATGTAAGCACAGGGTGACACAATTCCAAATCTTAGGAGGGGGCTTTTTAGTCATAGTATTTGCTTTCTGCCAAGATAGGGAATGCGTCACTCTGCCAGAGTACAACTTTTTACAGATTAAATAAAGCTGTATATGTCTCATTGTTACCCAATTGCTGGTCTTATTTCTCTTAAGCCACTCACTGGGGCCCAGGGAGGGACTGAGTTACTGTATATGGGCTCTCTGCTATGCATTTTCACATGCTTGATCATTATCCCACCCAGAGAAGAAATGAAGTCCTGGGATAAATAATTTACCCATGGTTGCCCTGGCCGGTTTGGCTCAGCGGTTAGAGCGTCGGCCTGCGGTCTGGAGAGACCCGGGTTCGGTTCCCGCTAGGGGCATGTGCCTCGGTTGCAGTTTGTCCCCGGCTCTGGTCAGTCGTGCGGGTGGCAGCCACTCGATGTGTCCCTTCACGTCGATGTTTCTCTCTCTCTCTGTTCCTCTCTCCCCCTCCTACTCTACCTGAACAAAAATGGAAAAATGTCCTCGGGTGAGGATAAAAAAAAAATAAATAAATAAAATAATTTACCCATGGTTATACCAGAATCTCAGCTGGGATTGAATGAACCCCAAGCCCATCTCACACATACTCTCTTCCCTTCAAACCAAAAATCATTAGAAGTTCAACCATGTGGTTTGTGATGAAGGAGGAGAAGCTGAAGTCTTGGAAAGTTATCCTGTATCTCAGCTCTACCATCTGTGTGGGGTTGCTGAGTCCCACCTCTCAGTAACAATCTGCAACCACTTGTCGGTTCTTCAAGTAGACCAGGCTGTATTTCTCCAGAAATGGCTCTTTGTACCCAGCAAGAATAATTTCAAGAGGCCACTATCTCAGGTTATTTTGAATGATCCAGGAGTGTTGCTGCCATAGTACATGAAGGTTGCTCTGTCCGTGGGAGAAACTTATAAAGTGACTCAGACCCTACTCATTCTCATAGAGGAGATTAAATAAATGCACATGGACAGATACAGGTCACCAAGCTGAGGTTCTGACATTGCAGGCCAACACAGTTCTGGAGCTGGAGGTGGTCTGACAGTGACAGTTCCTCTTAAAATCCACACTGCTGCACACTCAGCATGGATGGTTGCCTGCTTCCCCACCTTAGCCTTGTACCTGGAATTGGGCCCCAACTGACTACACCTGACTGGCCCTAACTGCACTCATTCCTCTTCTTATTTTCATTTCCTTTTTTCCTGTTCAGTCAAAAAAAAAAATCTTGGGTGCCTGCTTTATGAGAGGTAAGGAAAGTGGCCAGGTATACTGCGCATGATGATTATATAAAGATCTCTTTTATATAACTCATCTTAGCCAGTTCTCAAGGCAACTGCAAAGTGGGCCATGTTTTACAGACAAGGAACAGCTGAGGAGACAAGTGATTTGACCAAGGTCATGTAGCTAGAAGTTCCTAGTTCTTCCAAAATCAATGCATTTTCATTTTATTCAGCCTTTTATTGAGCACTTACCCTATTACAGGCTGGGCCCTTAGCACTTTCCTATATACTTCCTTCTAATGACCCAGTGGGATACACACTAGTCCCATTTTATGGATGAGAAATGGTCACAAAACTAATAAAGCAGCAGATTTAGGCTCTAAACTCAATCTTTTTTTAAATCCTCACTCAAGGATACCTTTTTTCCATTTATCTTCAGATTGGGGGAAAGAAACATCAACATGAGAGAGACACATCAATTGGTTGCCTCCCGCACAACCCCAGCCAGGGCCAGGGACCGAACTGCAACTGAGGTACGTGCCCTAGACCGCAATTGAACCTGAGACTCTGGTCTGCGGGCCAATGCTCTAACCACTGACCCAAGCTGACCAGGGCTCTAAACTCATTTTTAGGTGCCTCCCTGAGTGGAAAGGGAGAGTGTAAAGTAAGATTTTTGGAGACCAGAGATTCTGTACTTCCTACCTTGTTCATGGACCTCACCTTGAAGCTGGCCGAAAAACTTGTCAGACAAGAAGATGAACATCAGAGTGGCATGCAGGCAGGAGCAGGAGGGTGGGCCTGTGCTCATTTCCCTCCCTGCCACAGGCCACATCCTTGAGTGACTGTCACCCATTCAAACATCCTGGTTAGGATTTTCTTACAGAGGATTCACCTCCACTCGGGCTCCTTCAGCTGTCCATGCCAAGTGCCCACGGAGTTCATCTCAAACCAGCTTTCCCTAGCAGAAAGGGAAAACCTGCCCTGGCTGGTTTGGCTCAGCGGTTAGAGCGTCGGCCCGCAGTCCAGAGAGACCTGGGTTCAGTTCCCACTAAGGGCACATACCTCGGTTGCAGTTTGTCCCTGGCCCTGGCTTTGTCGTGCAGGTGGCAACCACTCAATGTGTCCCTTTCATGTCGATGATTCTCTCTCTTTCCCTCCCTCCCTCTCTATCTGAACAAAAACATGGAAAGAAAAATAAAAGGAAAACCTGAGCTGGAGTGTGCCCCAGCTGGCCAGTTCCCCCAAAAGCTACATAGTCTGAGCTGGAGTCAGCTATTTCAGAGCAGTGGGTCATTTTCTGTTTTAAAAAATCTGTCTCCAGGAATACCAAGCCCCCTAAAGGAAAGGCAGCAAGTGGGTATGATTATTTAGATTTTTAACAAGCTGGAGATTGTAAGTTTCAGTGATTGAAGGTAGCAACAGTCAAAGGCGTTTATTTCAAAGATTCTTTATCCTGGCTGAGTGATTCCCAGGCTAGGGGTGTGCATCACAGTCGCCTAGAGGGCTTGGGAAAGATTGTTGGCCCTACCATGGAGTTTCGATTCAGTAGATCTGCGATGGGGCCCAAGAATTTGCATGGCTAACAAATTCCTGATGATGCTGAGGCTGCTGGTCTAGGGACCACACTTAGAGAACTGCTGCCCAAAGGTCTTGCTACTCAAAGTGTCCCCAGACCAGCACTATGGGTATTACCTCGGAGTAGTTAGCAATACAGAATCTGAACCCTTAAGTGCACCCTTCCCAGACCCACTTTATCCAAATCTGTTGTTTAAGAAGATCCCTGGGTGATTCCTGTACACATTAAAGGTTGGGACACACCACTCCAAGGCAGTGCTTCCCAGACTTGCCAGCCAAAGGAATCTTTTAATGTGTTTAAAATTCAGATTCCTAGGCTGCTGCTCTGATGACTTGGATTTAGATGTGGTACTAATGATTATTATGATCAGGTAAGCATGGAAACTCCATTTACCTCGATTCTGTGTTCCTTGGGCCAGACCAGCCTGTAAAGCCAGAGAAAAACCTTTCCCTCTAGGATCATGACAAGGCAGCTGCTTCTGCCCCAGAAACAGGAACTTGGGGAAGGTGGCTCCTTGATGGTCTGTGATGCCGTCAGAGGAAATGGGTGGTTGTGAGAACCACGGAGTCTGCAGATGTGAGCCAGGAGCCCCAAGCACCCTGTAACAGAGCTTAAAGAGCTCTGAGCCTTATTCCCTGGCCCGCCTGTGCTTGGAAGGTTCACCCAGTCGGGGCTCCTATCCCATCCCAGGTGTACAAACTGCTGACCACAGGCAGACACCGTGCTACCCAAAGCGATACTGAGGGCCCCTCCCTGAAGATTCTTCCAGGCCAAGTGGGTCCTGAATGTCCTAGGACTAAGGATGTTGGTGGACTTCCAGAAGGGCCCCCCAAAGCCCTAACTTCTCCAGTCAAGGCCTGCGTCTTAGCTGAGCCCCCACACCAAGCCTCTGATGACAGGAAACCAGTAAGTATGCTTGTTTTTGTTTTCTGATAGTCTTGGGACTGTGAGGAAGGATGGTACCCTCAGGCTGGGAGTGGGCTTTATAGTTGTGGAAAAAACTCAAGGAGTGTTTCTACTGAGGCGGTAAGAGGTGATTTCTAAGGGTGCCTGAAGGAACTGAGGCCCCCCTCCTTCATCTTTGACTGTCCTCTGGAGAGTCACATTGTTCTCCCCAGCTGGTCTGCATGCCTAGTCTGGTCCCATCTCAGTTACCAACTTGCTGTGTGACTTTGGGGCCCTCTCTGGGTCTCAGCCTTCCAACTTCAGTGAATGAGAGGAGTCTGGATTATAATATCTGAAGATACTTTCAACTCTAGTATCATCAGTTGCTCTCAAAAGGTTGATATTCCTCAGCTGAAAGGGAGCTGAATCCAAATTCATCACTCTTACTCCACCACTGAGAAATTATCCTCTGAAGCACAAAAACACAAAGACAGGGATTGTAGACCCAGCTCTGCACAAAGCAGCTGTGTGGCAGTGAGCACGAGGTCCGGCTCTCTGGGTCCTGGTTCTTATATCTGAATGGGATTCAAATGCTGACCTCTCAAAGGATCAAGTGAGATCATCGAAAACAATTGTGGACATTGTGCTGATCTCAGCTGCTTTTTACTAACTCCTTCCACCCACTGGCCCCGGTCTCCTAGAAAGTGCCTAACAACATAGTAAGTTGTTCAAATACTTACATAATTAATGATTAAGTTCTGTCTTTTAAAAGTTTTGGCCAGCCCTGGCCAGTTTGGCTCAGCAGTTAAGAGCGTCAGCCCGCGAACCAGAGAGTCCTGGGTTCGGTTCCTGCGAAGGGCACGTACCTCGGTTGCAGTTTGTCCCTGGCCCCGGTTGGGGTCATGTGGGTGGCAACCAGTCGATGTGTCTCTATCACATCGATGTCCTCTGTCTCTCTTCCTCCCTCTCTCCCTCCTGCTGTATCTGAAGATAAATGCAAAAATGTCCTTGGGTGAAGATTAAAAGAAAAAGTTTTTAAGTTTTGGCCAGCACTTCTCCTCCTGGGTCTCTCTACCCCATCGTTTTTATTTTGCCCCACAGGAGGCTTCCTGACCCCACCAGGTGAAGGGAGCTTGCAGAGGGAGCTGGGGCTTCCAGCCTGAGTTCACGTCTGCCGCCTCAGGCCCATCCCCCAGCTCCACCTGCAGTGGGAAGAAGTTTCTGGGTTTAGTGCAGTTGGTGATTGTGGTGACTTTGTCTTGCTGAAAGGAAACTAACTCGTGCTGAGCACCCATTCTGTGCCAGGCTCCTCGGCTTCCCCCCAAAGCCCTGTGGACTCAGCCCTGATTCACAGATGGGACTGGGAAAGGTGCGTGCTTTTTCTGAGGTTACACAGCTCCAGCCTGGTTGGCCTGAATGAGTCACTTGTGCTACCCAGGAAAGATCTTTCCTGGGCTTTCTGGATCCATGTCTGCACATTCAAGTATAGAGCCTATACCTCATGCTCTGGGGGAAAGGCTGGGGAGCAGCAGGAATGTTGAAAACCTGACCTTTAGAAGGGGTGCCTTAGCAGTGAGGGAATCAGAGACCCGAGGAGGCAGCAGCACCATCTCAGGCTGCCGAGGTTTCCACAGTCAGCAGGAGCCACTTCCTCAATGGGCCTGTTTTATATTAAAGAGCTCCTGTCTCGTGAATACTGAATTCCTCATGGGAGACAGCAGAAACAGGTACTGTTAGCCCGCCGATGACACAAGACTGCAGAACTGGGTAATTCGTTGCACAGATCGTGTTCCCTTCTCTAAAGCAGGATTTTTATTCCAGACAGGACTGTCCTGTGAGGCCATGGAAATCAATTCATGATAGTGACAGACACCTGTCCTCACCCAGGCATGGGGTTAGTGTTGTAAAGGCAAGGATGGAGCCTACTATATCACCAAACTGGTGTAATGATAACCTGTCTACTGAAAAGAATGAAACCATCTGAAAGAAAGAAACTACCCTCCACCCCCAACACACTTTAAAGTATTTGGAAAAATGAGCATTGCTCTGGAAACCTGGGAATTTAAGTTATTTTAAGGATAAGACACCTGTACAGCCCTGCTTGGGTAGCTCAGTTTGTTAGAGTGTTGTCCTGATATGCCAAGGTTTCAGGTTCGATCCACGGTAGAGCATCAACCAATGAATGCATAAGTGGGTGGAACAACAACAAAAATCTCTATGACTCTCTCTCCCTCTCTCCCTCCCTTCCTCCTGCTCTCTCTCCCCCCTCGAATTAATAAATACATTTTTTTAAAGGACACTTGTCTAAAGAGTTAATAATTACATTTGTCCATTTGGTTAATATGTGCCAAGGCCCTCACAAAATGCTGAGAAAATGGGCAGGCAGAGGTCCTGTATTCACTGAGCTATAGAATAATGGCATATTAAACAAGTAAAAGTTTTAATAAATGAATAACTTAAATGGGAAGGAACACAACAGGGAGCCAAGAGAGAAAAGGGAAGACTCCCAGGTACAGCCTCTGGTGAAGCAACATTCCAGGTGTGATGAAGGAAAGCAGGCCCCAGCCAGCCCTTTCACATGCGTCCAAGACCCTTATGTTCAGTATTGCTATCCCCAGTTTTCAGAGGAAATAAGGCAACGAGAAGGGAAATGGCTCCACAGCCAATCCTCCAAAGCCCTGCAAGTCATCACTGGGTCATACGGTCTCCCCGTCCTCTTACTTTGCCCTGTGTCGCCTTCGCTCGTGACAACCAGATCCCTCCGGTCCTCTTCTAACCCTAGCCATGGGTCCTGGTATGCCTGGAGTGAACTCTGTCCTGTCATTGTCCCCTGTCACACAGAATATGATCCCAGGTCAGGAAATGGTTCTGAATTGGCCATCTGATTGATCAGTGAGGGCTGGGGGGTTCAGGGAAAGCTTCCTGGGACAGAGTGTGGTCCAGACAGCCCTGAAGGGAAAATGAATATTCCAGCCAGTGGGAGGGTGCACCACACACAGAAAGGCCCAGAAACAGAACAGAACATGGCTGCAGCACAGTAACGATGGGTGAAAACAGGGACCGGTTCACAGAGACCCTTCAGCGTCTCTAGGGGAGGGACTGGAGCCTGGTCCTGGTGGGAGGGAGATTGTTTACTTGCTGTCAGCAAGGACATTGGCAGGGCAGAGCCAGGGAGGGAGGCTGTCTAGGACCAGGCCTGGAGCCACAGCTCTGTGCCCTTCACAGCATCTCAGATTTTTCTCCACGATGTGCTTCTGACAGTTCTGCTGAGAAACCATGGGAAGTCAGCCCAGCAGAGGGAAAACCCTGCCAAGCCCAAGCTCCAGCCCCTCTGTTCAAGACCAGGACCCTGTACCCATGCAACCAGGTAAGCTACGGGGCCCAGAACAACTAGGTCTTTCCCAGGCACCATGAGGCTGCATGGGGCCTTCCTGACCAACCACTCCAAAACAGCGTAAAGTGTCAATGAGTGCCTGCTGTATACCAGGCCCTCCCCAAGGAGCCATATAGGCAGGGCCCTACTCTTGTAGAACTTCTATTTTAGCAGTCAACATTAAACAACCAGGTAAAGTAGAAAACCTGAATCAGTGACAGGTGCTAACCAGGCAGGCATGATAGTACCCCAGGCATCTCCCAAGGCTTCCTTCCTCCTCAACCAATTTATTTGGAAACTGAGTTGGCAACTCAAAGACCAATCCCACCTCTGTAGCTCTCCTTACCTGAACTGACCCTTACAGTACTCTCTAGTCATATGAAGCTATTTAAATCTGTTAAAATTAATTTGAATGAAATAAAATATTCAGCTCCTCAGTCACACTAGCTGCATTTGAAGTACTCAAAGCCATATGTAGCTACTGGCTACCTTAATTGGACAGCAGACTTATAGACCATATTTCCATCTATAAAATTCTATTAGATCAGCTTAGCCGGTGTGGCTCAGTGGTTGAGTGTCGCCCCATGCACCAAAAGGTCACCGGTTCAGGGCACATGCCCAGGTTGAGGGCTGATCCCCAGTGTGGGGTGTGCAGGAGGCGGCCAATTGATGTTCTCTCTCATCGATGTTTCTATCTCTCTCTCCCTCTCCTTTCCTCTCTCTCTAAAAAAAATAAAGAAAAAAAAATTCTATTAGTGATGTTCCAAAGTCTGTCCTCTTATTCTGAGAGGTGCTGTGAAATACTTGAAAAAGATCAGAGCTGTGACAATTGGAAAAAATGAGCACTATATACAGTACATATGCTGAACCTGTAGCCGTTATTTTCTAAGGTAGTCCTGACTACAAATGCTATTTTTTTTTTTTCCTCACCCGAGGACATTTTTCCATATTTTGTTCAGCTAGAGTGGGAGGGAGAGAGAGAGAAACATCGACATGAAAGGGACACATCGAGAAGTTGCCACCCACACAACCCAACCAGGGCTAAGGACAAACTGTAACCGAGGTACATGTCCTTAGTGGGAACCGAACCCGGTTCTCTCTGGACCGCAGGCTGACGCTCTAACCGCTGAGCCAAACCGGCCAGGGCTACAAATGCTACTTTTTAGGACAATTAGACAATCAGAATAAATTCTAATATTTTGATGTCAAAGCTACAGCCCCCAGTTTGTTTCTTATTCCCCAAAATAGCATACAAATTCTTTCTCAACACACATCCGGATTTGGGGTTTTAATTGTGTCTTAGAGTTCTATAGAGAAACAGAACCACAGAACCAATAGGGTGTGTTTGTGTGTGTGTGTAGACATAGAGAAAAGTTATTTTAAGAAATTGGCTCATGCAGTTGTGGGGGCTGACAAGTCTTAGATCTTCAGGGCAAGCCACCAGGCTGGTGACCCAGGGAAGAGCTGATGCTGCAAAATTCCAGAGCTGAGTCTGGAGACAGAATTCCCTCTTCCTCAAAGGACCTCAATCTGTTTCTCTTAATGTCTTCAACTGACTGGAAGAGGCCCACCCTCATTATGGAGGGTAACCTGTATTAATCAGAGTCTACTGATATAAATGTTAATCTCATCTAAAAAATACCTTTATAGCAACATCTAGACTGATGTTTGACCAAATATCTGGGTACTGTGGGCTAGCCACATTGAGACAAAATTAACCATTGCAGATAACAAGATCACTCTAAACCAAGTAGCACTTCTAGGAGGAAGGACATGGAAACACAGTTAAGCAGACTAGGAGACTACAGACAAAATGTCTGCAGATTCGTTTTTGGGCAGTTGTCTGAATCTGAAAACTCCCCTATAGTGTCTGGGGCCTCATTCCCTCTCCTCAGCCTGTTCCCCCAATAGCCTCATCTCCCTAACACCAGACTCCCTTGGCCCTTCCCATTGAATGCTAGGCCCTGTAGCTGCCCAATCTGCACAGAGCCTGGGGCCCACAGGCCTGGCAGGAAGAGACCTGGAAACCACACACACCCCCACTTAATTTCCTCTGAATCTAGCCACAGGCAGTAGCCCCAAGACTGCTCTGATTCATGCCCTGGCTGCTGAAGGGGTTGGGAGTGGGTGACTGCTCCCCACCCCCCACCCCCCCATGCAGGTGTCCTGCCTTCGGGACCTGAGGTAAACTGTGCCCTCCTCTGCCAGGGTCTCCAGGAAAAGGCCAGGCCTTTCACGGTAGGTCTGTCTCTGGTCCCAGAAGAAGCATGGATTTTGGGCAACCCCTTCCATGAGTTGTCTGTTTGTCCATCAGCCTTGCATCCATCCAAAATCTAAGGCTTCTGTGCCAGGACTTGTGCACGCATGACCAGGGTTCACAGCAGTGGACAGGACAGGCATAGTCCCTGCCTTCAGGGACAGTCAAATCCCACAGACAGGTACTTAACTAATCATCAATTACAGTTGTTTTACATTTTGACAACAATGTGACTCAAGGGACTCTGGCCAAGAGTGTCTACTAAGGGGTTTGTCAGGGAAGAAGGCTTCCCTAAGAAAGGGACATTTCATCTGGGGAGTGAAGGGCGAGGGTGACAAAGCCATGTTGAGGAGGGCAATCGAAGGGACAACATATGTGCCTCTGGTTCCTAGGGTGCATGGCCAGGAGGGGTGGGGGCCTTCCCGGCCACCCGGTTCCACCCTTATTGCAGGATGCCCTCCACAAGACTTGCTTGCATTGCTTATTCAGGCATCAGGAATGTCCCTGCACCATGGGATGGCCAGGCCCTGTGCTGCAGGCATTTCAGAGCGAGACCCCTCTGAGGAGCTCCTGTCTGGGGTCCCACACAGGATCTCCACGTGTGTCTGAGAAGACATAGAAACCAGCCCAGGGTTCCTGTGGGGGTGTTGATGGTGGGATCCCAGGCTCCACTAGACCTCACATCTGGAGACAGGGCCAGCCAAGAGGGTGACCATCTCTGTCCCTCCATCCAGAGAGGAGCAAGGCCACAGCCGTGGCCCTGGGCAGTTTCCCGGTAGGCGAGCAGGCAGAACTGTCACTGAGACTGGGGGAGCCACTGACCATCATCTCTGAGTAAGTAATTCCAAGGGCACTGTGTGGGATGATCTGCTCCCTCCCCTGACACCTGAAGATGACTGGTGGGAAAAAGGGCCACTCCTTCCAGGAGGACAGAACATGACCTTTGGTGTCAAGCTTTCATGTGGACCTCATGGTAGGATTTCAGGAAGCAAGACACACCCACAGGGAGAAGCAGTGGGTGGGCAGGCCACATGGGGGAGGGGGGCCTGAATCATGCCCTCTACTGCCCAGGAGGTACCTGGATTGGCTGGTGCAAGGAAAGCTGGGAAACTCAGGTGGGATCCAGCCTGGAGGGCCCTTATAAATTCCAAATGAGCAATTGCGGGCCTTGGCCCTTCTGAGAGGGGTCCCCTCCTTTCTCTCTACAGGGACGGAGACTGGTGGACTGTGCTGTCGGAGGTCTCGGGCAGAGAGTACAGCATCCCCAGTGTCCACGTGGCCAAAATCTCCCACGGGTGAGTTTTCACTCCAGGTCCTGCCTTAGGGGACCTTCCTGCTTTCTCTGTCCACAAGCGTAGTCCTTTATGCCCAGTCCTGTGCTGAACACAGCTGAGGACGAGAGAATCAGCCCCAGGCCTGCAAGACTTGGGAGCCCAGAGGAGGTGGCCTGGAGGGAATGTGGTGGTAGAATGCTGAAAGGGACTTGCAGGAGATGGGAGCAGCCCGAACAAATGTCCTGAGGCAAGAAAACAAAGGGGCGATGCCCCATGTCAGGGGCCTGGCCTGAGAGGAGCCTCTGAGGGAGGGCCAGACATGGGACAAGGGTCTCACACAAAGCACAGCCATCTCTCGCCAAAAATGAGCGACAAAAGGAGCTGACTCCAGAGCAAATTCTATGCCAGGAGGAAGAGAGGAAGTGGGATGTAGGACCTTCCGGTGGGATCTGCCTGAAGAACAGGGTCAGGAATGCGTCCCGTGCAAATGCACTGCTGCAACAGCCGCTCCTCCGTCGGAGAGAAGGTGCGGCTCCAGCTCTGGATGGCCTTCTGTTCAGGGCTCACAGTGTGTCTGGCTCCGATGAGCGTAACGCAGGGATCCTTCAACGTATGGTCACCTCGTAGGATCAGCTCACACAGAAACTGTCTGTTACCTGGGTGAAGCCCACCTTACCATGTGTTTCCTGCTGGCTTGGGCCTACTGGTTGGAGGTTTTACACCCACAGCGTGGCACTAAGTGTAAGCCAAGGAACACCGACTACCTCCAAGAGTCCCTCCCCTTCTCTTGCCACTCCTTCATTTACATCCTCGGTTCTTTTTCTTTTTAATTATTTTTTATTAGTTTATTAATTGATAGAGTGGGAGGGAGGGGGGGGAGAGAGAGAGAGAGAGAGAGAGAGATTGACGTGAGAGGGACACATCCATCCCCAGTTTTCATAAGACATGACAATTTGCACAAGTCAACACGAATGACTTGTTTTATTTGCTATAAAACGAGGATCCCTGGCCCCAGCTGGTGGTCGTGCAGGAGGCAACCAATCGATGTGTATCTCTCCCATCAGTGTTTCTCTTTCTCTCCCTTCCTTCCACTCTCTCTAAAAATCAATGGGAAAATATCCTCTGGTGAGGATTAACAAAAATAAACAAACAAAAGAAAATGAGGCTAAATTTGCAGCTGGCACCAAGTGAGGCACAGCATCTCTAGGTTTTTTTTTTTCCTTGGAATCAACTCAACCCCTGGCTCTGGCTTTGACTGGAATTTCACAAAATGACATGGAGGCAGCCATTAACATCAAATCAGCTTCTGTAGGCTTTGCCTGGGATCACAGGGCATGACCCTGGGGATTTAGGAAACTGATGGACTAGGAGACAAAAAAAATTCTTGCAGAACTACCCTGAACTTCCCATCATAGTTAAGTTTCAATACGTACATAAGTGAGGGGTTATGTGAAAAGAGGAAGGAAAATCTGGGATCAGAGTAATCAACATCCCAGCATGGAAAAAGGCACCCGGAACAGGGCTGTGCTTTGGGAGGCAAGTTTGGTGACTGGTGGGCTGCACAATAGTTTCCAAAAGTTCAGACATCCTGAAGATCCGAGTCCCAGCCTTTCACAAATCAGCCTCAATACAAGCTATGTTTCCATGATAATGAGTAAAGGTTCACTGCATACCTTTGGCTACAAAGTTCAACTTTAAACTGTCCAAATAAAATATTTACTAAAAAATTTTTTTAATTCTTTTTATTGATTTGAGAAAGATAAAAAAAATTTTTAAAACCACATAAACAGGGAATTCTTGGAAAGATGAGGAGCATAGTGTGGTAAGGTAGTGGGCAGTGGTAGGAGAGAGGCCAGCTCCCTGGGCCCTTGGGAATGAGATCTCCAGGCAGAGAAGGCTGGGGCTGACCCCATGAGGTTGTCCTCTGAGGTTCCTGGAGCCAGGACTAGGAGGACAGAGCTGGGGGCGGGCCCACCACCCTCAGGCTGACTGACGCCTGTCTCTGCTTCTCCAGGTGGCTGTATGAGGGCCTGAGTCGGGAGAAAGCTGAGGAACTGCTGCTGCTGCCTGGAAACCCTGGCGGGGCCTTCCTCATTCGGGAGAGCCAGACCAGGAGAGGTGGGTAAGCTGATTCCGCCTGGGGCCTCTCTCCTGAATGCCAAGAGTCAAGTCTGATGTGACCTGGGGGCAGAGGTCAGGTGCAAAGGGCTGGAGCCAGGCAGTCTGGCCGGCTGCCTGCCATGAAAGCACATCAGCTATTGAGCAATAACCTGCATCTTTACCACGGTGTGAATGGCCCACAGTAGGGATCCAGTAGAATTTCCTTTCCTGACCTGCAATGATTTCTCCCTCCCTAAGACACAACACAATCCTGATCTTTTGGCAAAATGTTGACAAGTTGACAAGGTCTCTGTGCTTTGGGGCACCAGCCAGTCAGAGCAAGAAAACCCGTTATGAGCCATCTTGTGATCTTCCTCTCTTTGCTGTTCAGATGGAAAAAGAGGCCTAAAATGGCATAGGGACATGTCACATTGCACATTCATACGAGACTTCTCCCACCTCAGATACAGGGCCTTTGCAAACAAAACACGAAGCTGATGGAGTGTCTCTGAGGCCCTGCCTCCCCCTGAGCTGCTGCCCTGAGGCCCTTACAGCAGAGGGGAGAGGGACATCGAAGGAGTGGCAGCACCCATGTTTGTGTTAGGCCTTCAGACAACCCTGTGGGGGTTGTGCTGCCATCGCCCCCATTTTACAGATGTGGAAACTGAGGCTTAGAGAAGAGAAGGAATTTGCCTGGGGAGACACGACTAAGAAGTGCAGATCTGGGCCCTGGCTGATGTGGCTCAGTTGGTTGAGCATTATCCTGTGCACCAGAAGGTCGCCAGTTCAGTTCTCAGTGAGGGCACATGCCCAGGTTGAGGATTCAGTTTCTGGTCAGGGTGTATATGGGAGGCAACCAATTGATGTTCTGCTCTCACATTGATATTTCTCTTTCTCCCTCTCCCTTCCTCTCTCTCTAAAATCAATAAAAACATTTTTTTAAGTGCAGAGCTGGGATTCTAACCTCACTGGGGTTCATCTCTCTTTAGACACCCAAGAAAGGCCCACACGTGACAATAATTGTGGAACTGCAAGCACAGTGGTGGGCTAGGGAGGAGATATCCAGAAGTGAGGACCAGCCTCCTGTCCTTGCCCTAATTTGAACCAACCATTTGAACCAACCGTAATGAGCTGTCAGGGTTCCTCGCTCTCTACGCAGTCTCCCTCCGTGAGTCCCTCCAGTGAGTCCTTGCTTCTCCTCCCCTTCCTTGGGCTGCTCCCTGGGTTGACCTCTCCCCAGCCCCTTCTGCTGTTTTCCAGGCAGCATGAGCATCCCACCCTCACATACACCCATCGGCTTTCTGGGGTGGGGGCGGGGTCCCAGTGCAGCAGCTGCAAACGGGAAACCACGCATTGGTGCTGACTTGGGTCAAGGGTGTGTAGACAGGGCCCCAGTGAGCACTGAAAGCCACAGGAAGTACTTTGTGCACAGCTTCCCACCCCCACCTCTTCTCTGGACTTGTTCAACCCCGAGAGCATACTGACCAGCCCTTATTGCCACTCTGCCCCTTTCCGAAGAAGGCACATATACAAGGGGAAATCGCTGAGAAGTCAAGGAGAAAACAGATAAGGATCCCCACTGTTACTTGGATTAAGGTTAGATTTGACTCTGAGGTTCCCAATAGGCATCACAATGGGGATAGATTAGAATGCAGCTCTCAGTATCAAAAAAGGAAGATATTTGCCAATTCCCCAGGAAAGGCAAAGGTTTCCCTGGTATTAATTTGTAATCTCTCATCTGGAGCTCCCTTTTGGACAGTGTGTTAAGCTGGAGGCCAAGACTCATTTGTGGGCCAAGAAATCAGTGTAGTGCAGTTGTTATTGACCAGAGGGTCTCAAACTGGGCAGGCATCAGAATCACCTGGAGGGCTTGTTAGGACAAAGACCTGGCCTCACACACCCAGCAGTTGACGCTGGTAGGTCTGGGGCAAGGCCTGAGAATTTGCCTCTCCAGCCCTGGCCGGTTTGGCTCAGCGGTTAGAGCATCGGCCTGCAGTCCAGAGAGACCCGGGTTCAGTTCCCGCTAAGGGCACATACCTCGGTTGCAGTTTGTCCCTGGCCCTGGTTGGGTCATGTGGGAGGCAGCCACTCGATGTGTCCCTGTCATGTCGATGTTTCTCTCTCTCTCTCTCTCTCTCTTCCTCTCTCTCCCTCCCACTCTGTCTGAACGAAAAATAGAAAAATGTCCTCGGGTGAGGATAAAAAATGATAATAATAAAAGAATAAAATAAAAATTTGCCTCTCCAGCAGGTGATGCTGCTGCTGCTGCTGCTACTGCTGGTTTGGGGACCACACTTTAAGAACCACTGATCTGAGCCTTGGCTGTAGCTGGAATCATCTGGGGGAGCTTTATTATTTTTTTTTTTTTCAATCCTCACCCGAGGACATTTTTCCATTTTTTTTGTTCAGGTAGAGCGGGAGGGAGAGAGAGGAACAGAGAGAGAGAGAGAGAGAAACATCGACGTGAAAGGGACACATCGAGTGGCTGCCACCCGCACGACCAACCAGGGCCGGGGACAAACTGCAACCGAGGTACGTGCCCTTAGCGGGAACCGAACCCGGGTCTCTCAGGACCGCAGGCCGACGCTCTAACCGCTGAGCCAAACCGGCCAGGGCTGGGGGAGCTTTATAAACGAATGATGCCTGCATCCACCCCCAGAGTTTCTGATTGAATTGGTCAAGGGTGTGGCCTGGCCCTGGAATGTGTAAAAGCCCCACAGATGATTCACCGTTTAAATTTCTGGTCTGCTTATTTGTTTACTTGTCTGATTCTACATATAAATGAAATCATGTGGCATTTGTCATTTTCTGACTTAGTTCACTCAGCACAATATTCTCTAGGTCCCTCCATGTTGTTGCAGGTGGTAAGATTTCATTCTACTTTTTTATTTTATTTTATTTACTTATTTTTTTATCCTCACCTGAGGACATTTTTGCATTTATCTTCAGATAGAGTGGGAGGGAGAGAGAAACACTGAGTGGTCACCACCCACACAATCCCAACCGGGGCCAGGGACAAACTGCAACCGAGATACGTGCCCTTAGCGGGAACTGAACCCGGAACTCCGGTCCGCGGACCGACGTGCTAACCGCTGAGCAAAACCGGCCAGGGCTCATTCTTCTTTTTTATGGCTGAGTCTTATTCTGTTGTATATATGCACCACTTTTTATCTGTTCATCTACTGATGGGCACGTAGGTTGCCTCCATATCTTGGCTGTTGTAAATAATGCTGCAGTGAACATATGGATACGGGTCTTTTCGATGTACTGTTTTGCCTCCAGATGATTCGAATGTGCAGCCAGAGTTGAAACCCAGGGCCCTATTCACTGATTTAGTGAATCTGGACCCCTGAGTAAAATGAAATACAGCAGAAAACATCAGAGTGCATCACTGGGGTTGGGGAAAATATTATTTCATCAAACTTTTGTTTGTGTACTGGGTCATAGTGCAAAATTTCCACTGTGGTTTGTGGTCAAAAAAAGTTTGACACCGCAGCTCTAGGGGCCTGAGTGAGGTCCTACGGCAGTGCTGCTCAGACTCGAGTGAACAGGAATTGTCAGGGGAACCCCTTGACAGTGCAGACCCTTGAGCCCCACCTCAGACCTACCGGATCAGACTGTGGGGCACAGAGGTCAGAAATCTGCTTCCTTCACAGCCTTCCTCCCCAAGTGGTTCTTAAGTTTTTTTCAGCTTGAAAACACACTTCCAATCTAGGGAACCCAGAATTAAGTGATGAGGGACTATATGTTTTACATTTCCACATGCATCTTGTCATATATAACAGTAGTTAACTGTTGATTGAGTGGGTGATATCAGGACCAGCTTTTCTTTGGCTCAAGGTCCAGATGTACCTCTAGGAAAGGAATTCTGCAGGGGCTTTGAGCCTGTGTGTGGATGGAGGGAGAGGCCTCTGAGCTCCGGAGAACCCTGCTCAAAGTCTGGAGGGGGAGGGGAAAGCTCCTCCACCCTGCCCCATTCCCAGAGAGTCCCTCTGGCACAACCGATTGTGTTCTAGGCCAGCGGGGAGCCACGGCAGGGCCCGAGTCAGGCCCAAAACCTTGGTTTGTGAAGGAGCACTAAAAACTGGAAGTCACAGCATTGCTCTAGAGGTGAGCGCTAGGGCCAGGGCCCAACAGCATCACCCCATTGCCTTCCTGCTGTCCTACTATGTGTCTGTTCTGTGTTGGACACTGTAAAGGTGATTGATGAGCAAGTCATGCTTCCTGCCACTGAGGAACTCACTTCTGTCCATTCTGTCGGTTAGGAAACACTTATTTAAGCATCTGGGCGTCAGGCCTGCTCACTCATGGTTCTTGCCCTCAGTGCGGACAGTGGGAGGTCTAGATTCTATCCATTGCTCCTCAGAGACCTCAGCAGAGGAAGTTCAGAAGGATCCTGCTTGGTCCACCTCTCACACACAGCTCCTAATCTGATCCTCATGCCACTGTGGACCCCACCCCTCCTCCTGGCATTGTCATCAGAACACCTGGGAGAACAAGGTGCCTGACCCAAAAGGTCCCTACAGGCCAGGATGTGACATTGGCTAAGTCTTCTGGAGCCTTTCCAGGGTGAGGACTTTGGATTTAAGTGTGGCAGGGAGGGTTCTGAGTTGGGGAGTGATGTGACCTGATCCCTCGACTGCTGCGGGTAAGGTAGAAAGGGGAAGCCACGTTGCAGTCATTGCAAGCTCCATCTGGGTGAGAAGTGGGTAGATTCTGGATGTGTTCTGAATGTAGCCAGTAGGGTTTTCTGTCAGGCCCGGACGTGAGGTTTGAGAGAACGGCAGGAGTCAAGGATGACTTCAGGATTAAGAGCTTAGTAATGGATGCACAGTGCTGCTGTTTTCTGAGGTGGGAGGATAAATCAGAACCATCCCTCAGGAGGCTCACAGTTGGTTATATGTGTTGGGGTAGGTGAGGGGTAGGGTTGAGGGACAAGCAGCACACTTGGTGCCACAAAGCAGGTGGCCTGGGCAAGCCTGGAGCTGGGGCTCCTCTTAGACAGGGAAGGTGCTCTG